AGACGTCTCCATACCGATCCCTCAAACTCTATTAAGTTTGTCCGTGAATTATGAGACCTAAGCAACCTAGAGCTCTGATACCAACTTGTCACGACCCGGATTTCCCACCCTCGAGAGTCGTGATGGCGCCTACTAGTGAAAGCTAGGCAAGCCAATTATTCCAATTATTTAACCATTTTCATTTTTAATCCCTTAACAATTCCAAATCAACAGAACTAAAACAGCAAAAATAATAAGTACAAAACAGTGCGGAAGATGAAATTTGATAATTTAGATTAATACAAACTGCAGAAGTCTAAGTACAACTCTACCCAGAATTTGGTGTCACAATGTCACGGACTATTAATGAATACTACAAATAAAGTCTGAATAGAAATACACAAATCTGTCTCTGAATAAGTAAAAACAGAAAGGAGATGATAGAAGGAGACGCCAAGGTCCGCGGACGCTTGCAGGACTACTTCGGGTCGCCTGATGAACTGGAAGCAGCAACCACACTGTGGTCTAAAAGCTACAGCACCGGGATCTGCACACAGTGCAGAGTGTAGTATCAGCACAACCGACCCCATGTGCTGGTAAGTGCCCAGCCTAACCTCGGCGAAGTAGTGACGAGGCTAGGACCAGACTATCAAATAAACCTGTGCAGTTAAAGCATATACAAAGGAGAAGTAAAGGCAGAAATTTACAGGTAAAGATAGGAGGGGAAAAACATGCTGCGAGGAAATCAAGTAACAACAGAGAACCAATAAGTAACCGTAAAGAACACCATAACTCAATTATCAACAATAATCAGGAAAGCAAAGGCAAGTGCACGGCGTCACCCTTCGTGCTTTTACTCTCGTCCTCACCAAAAGAGTCAATATAATCGGCACGGCATCACCCTTCGTGCTTTTACCTCACATAATCATGGCACAGAATGATCCTTCGTGCATTATCACTCATATCATGGCACGGAATTGTACATCGTACGGCACGGCATCACCCTTCGTGCTTTAACCTCACAATATCGGCACGGCATCACCCTTCGTGCATTAACACTCTCTCGCAAATATCATGCACGGCATCACCCTTCGTGATTTAACACTCTTCCTTACCCAAACAACAATCACAAAGCAATAAGGGCAAGGAAATCAATAAAATCACAATAAAGTCTCGGCAAGGGAACAATAGCATAACAACAATATCCCGACAAGGAAAATAATATCAAAGGCAACAACATCCCGGCAAGGGAAATAATATCAAGAGTAATAACCTCCCGGCAAGGGAAATAATATCAAAAGTAATAACATCCCGGCAAAGGAGACAATTTCATAAACCTCTTCTCTTTTCTGCAATTTCTTCACAACTCAATTTCCAACTTGAGCCAACGCTCTACAATGTTCAATTACCAATAATACTTCCACAAATCAATTCACAACTTGAGCCAACGCTCTACGATGTTCAATTATAATACTTCCACAAATCAATTCACAACTTGAGCCAACGCTCTTCAATATTCAATTACCACTAATGCTTTCACAAGCCTTGTTCAACAATAGATATCATCACATAAAGCATGAACAATACGAAACGGAGTCACATTTATCAAAGTATAAGACCCACGGGCATGCTTGACTCCGATATATAGATACCGTCACCATGCCTGTACATCGTACTCCACAATTAACACATAGCAAATAACACACAACTCCTAATCCCTCAAGCTAAGGTTAAACCAAACACTTACCTCGATGCCACGAACACAATTCAAGCCTCAACTATCGCTTTACCTCTTGTTTCCACCACCAATTTGCTTGTATCTAGCCACAATTTAATTAATACTATTAATAAGTGCTAAATGAATCAACTCTAATGCATGAAAATGGGTTTTCAAATGATTTCCCCAAAATGTCAAAAATCGACCCTGGGCCTGCTTGGTCCAAATCCGATATTTGGACTAAAATCCTATTACCCATTTACCCTCAAGCCCGGGTATACAATTGGTTTTGGAATCCGACCTCAATTTGAGGTCTAAATCCCCAAATTTCAATATTCCTAAGTTCTACCCAAAATTCCCAATTCCACCATGAAAACCCTTGATTCTAGGATGAAATCTTGTAAAAAGAAGTTAAGAAGTGAAAGAAATGAGTTTAAAATCACTTACTTGTGTTTTTGGGAAGAAAAGAGTGTTTGGAAAATCGCCTCTAATGTTTTAGGTTTCTGAAAATTGAAAAATAGCTGCAAGTCCCGTTTATATACTCCTCTCAGACCCTCACTACGGACCGCATAAAAAGGATTGCGGCCGCGGAGCTCCACCGCGGACCGCGAAATATCGAGTGCGGCCGCGAAGACATCGCCTTGCTCACCGCGGACCGCATTAATCCACCGCGGCCGCAAAGACCCCACTCGGTCGCGAGAAATCATTGTGGACCGTGAAGCCTGGTTCAGAGACCTGCAACTTCTCTAAACCTGCAACAGTTATTTTTCTAAGTCTAAATGCACTCCGAGGCCTATCCAAAACTCACCCGAGCCCTCGGGGCTCCAAACCAAACATGCACCCTAACCTAAAAATATCATACGGACATGCTCATGTGATCAAATCATCAAAATAACATCAACCATTATGAATTAAGCCTCAAATTCATGAAATCACTCAAGAACATCAAAATTCTCAATTTTCTCAAATAAGGTCCGATTTATACTAAACGGACTCCGATTCTTACCAAACTTCACAGATTCAACTAAATTATTATTTCAAACTTTTACCGGGCTCCAGAACCAAAATACGGGCCCGATACCATCAATTTCAACATCTTTCATTTCCCAAAAATTCTTATATTTTCCAGAAAATAATTTTCTTCAAAAATTCATTTATCGGGCTTGGAACCTTGGAATTCAATTCCGAGCATACGCGCAAGTCCCATATTTTCCTACGGACCCTCCAGGACCGTCAAATCACGGGTCCGGGTCCGTTTACCCAGAATGTTGACCGAAGTCAACTTAAATTTATTTTAAAAGCAAGCTTTATCATTTTTCACATAATGGCTTTCCGGGTACACGTCCGGACTGCGCACGGAAATCGAGGTGAGACAAAAAGGAGGTTTTAAGGCCTCGGAATACAGAATTTACTATCAAAACGAGTGATGACCCTCACATTAAAATACATCTACAACATCATACAACTTAAATACAATTTTAAAACTTCAAAGCTTTTTAATGGTAGTCAGTGGTGGAGAGTCAAACGCCTTCAAAATTGGTTGATTGACAACTTCAATTTAAACACCAATTGTGCAACATGAAAGGAAATTGCTAAGTTAAAACGATTGAAATCCATTGATGAATTCCATTAAAACTCAATACAACAAGAAAGCATAAAAAAGCAGAGAACATCAAATGAAGAAAAATTGGGAAAAAATAGAGAAGGAGAGTAGAGAGACGAAGACAGAGACAGAGACAGAGAGAGAGTCGGAGAAAGAGACTGGGAGAGAGACGAAGAGAAAGAGTGGGCAAGTATAAAGGGACAAGAAAGTAATTGATATTCCTTATTCAATTCCTAATACAAATGGATACTCTTTAAAACTTATTTGTATATAATTGGTAAATTGTATATCACCTTGTAATTAAATTGAAACTTGAATTGGGATGGTAATAAGGTTTCAAATAATGTATAGGAAGGTAAAAATCCCATAAAAAATAAGACAAGAAGGTAAATGTTCACACTGTTAAATAGGGAGTGAATCCCAAAATACTACTCTCCTCTCCAAAGGTTCCATCTTCCTTGAAAATTGTTTACTTTATTTAAAAATACCTAAGATTCTTAAAGAAAAATTGACATATGTAACTACAGAAAATTTTGCACCCTCCCCCTCCCCCCCTCCCCCCAAAAGTAAGAGGCCCAAAGCAACCGCTTCATCCACTTTACTGTTGGGCCGCCTCTGGGAAGGAGAAATATCAGAAAATTGATCGAGAAATGAGCATGACATTTGAAGTTATTTTTAAAAATAATATTTTTTCGTAAATAATAACATGACATAGTGTTGTCTGATGTGGATATTAATATTTTATTTAGTTAGCTGATTGAGGGTCATTAAGGTAAGAGAGATTTTAAACAATAGATTTCAACATATTGAGGTGTCTAGTGTCTATTTACCTATTTTACCAAAAGAAAGAACCTTTTAATTCTTGATATTATCTGAAATGCTTTCCCTAGAAGGATTTATTGTTATGCATAAGCGTGTAGCCCTAGTTTAGGCAAACCCGAAATCCAAATGGAAATTTAATTTTTAAAAAATTTTAATTTGGATTTTCAGATTACGAATTGAATTTTGAAATAATTTTTAAAAATTTTGGATTTGGGATTGGATGTTGGATTTGGTACTTTTGATTTTTGAATATCCGAAAATCTAAATTTTTCATACTTTATATTTAATCCATTATTCATATGCCAATAATAATGAGTCTACTACCCTACCCATTAGACATTATCTCGCATATTAAATGCTACTTATTAAGGCACTGCCAGAATACTTTCTATTTCGACATGATTTTACCATTGCTAATCTTATCGTCTTTATTAGTGTCTATGTTGTATTTCCTTGATGATGATTTTATTACTTGAATACTTTATTTTAAATGATTGCGGTTAGAGAGAAGAACTTCTTAGAAAATTTTACATGAATATTTTATTTGGATGTTCATTTTTGTAAGAAGCAGAAACAGCTCAACTTATAGGCTCAAAATCGAAAATTCGAAATATTCAAACAGATTAATCCGAAATCGAATATAAAATATCCAATCCACTCCGAGCTTATTTAGATTTGGCTTGTTTTCTTCAATCTAAAAATTGAATATTCAAACTGAAATTTTCATATCCAATCCGAACTGCCCGAACCCACCCACCTCGTTTATTGTCCTGACTGGGCTGAGGATTGATAAGAAGAGCAAATCCAAATCAGCAACGGTCCAAGCCCAATATTCAATCCAGCCTAAGCCCAAATAGAAGCCCTACTCGTGCCTAAAAATTTCTGGAGAAATTAACGACTACATGAAGTTGTTTCTGCTACCGGCGAAAGTTGCAGCGAAGAGCAGCCATGGCGGAGGCGAACCAGAATACGAACCCTAATCCGAATCCGAACCCGAGCAGCGGCGAAGTTCCACCGAATGTGACTATTTATATCAACAACCTCAATGAGAAAATAAAGCTTGAAGGTAGGTACTCCATGCTTCTCTCGAGATTTTACGTAAAACATTATCCTCTCATGTGTTCACTTTGTATTGATGTGTTACGTATTGATGGTGAATGAATTGTAGAGCTGAAGAAATCGCTGCACGCTGTGTTCTCACAGTTTGGTAAGATACTGGAGGTTTTAGCATTCAAAACCCTAAAGCACAAAGGACAGGCGTGGGTAGTGTTTGAGGAAGTCTCTTCTGCTAGCAATGCACTTCGCCAGATGCAGGGTTTCCCTTTCTACGATAAGCCTATGGTATTCATTACTCCGACTTCCTTTTGTTTCTGTGAATTTTCACTACTGGAATCTAGTTCCTAACTGTTGCAATGTGCTCTGCTGCAGTTTTAGTTCACAGTTGCTAAAAGAATCAACTTTACTATCAATCAATTAACTATACCTCTCAAACTAGTAGGGATCGGCTATATGGAGATTTATATGATTGATCTATCATAATTTAGCTATTTTTAGGCTATGAATTCATCGTAATCTTCCTGCTTTGTCTTTATACGGACTTGGGACTGGCTAGCTAAAGTGAATTAAATTTTCAGTGTGACTATTTATTTGACAAATGATCCTAGATATGTATTGAATGTTCAAGCATTTTGGCATCTTACCTATGCTCAATTAGAGAATACTATTTTTCATGGTGTCTTAATATTACACTGGCTACATTGTGGATGTGATGGATATAAGAGGTGGAGCTGCTAGGAGTAAGGATAAGTTTCCTTGAGGTTTTCAAACTAGTTGCGCTATATGGAAAGAGGAGTGGAACTGCTTTTGGCATTGGCAAACTACTAGATGAGCTTAAATGAAGAGACATGGACAGTGAGGATTCAAACTGTCAATTGTAACTTGCTTGGTATTGGGGCTTACAACAACAACAACAACAAAAAACCCGGTGTAATCCCAGTGTAACTTGCTTGGGATTGCGGCATAGTTGTTGCAATCTAGCAAACTACCTTTTTTTTTTGATAAGGTAAATAAATGTATTAAAAATTGAGGAAAACCCCATATACAAGCCGTATACCAAAAGAAGAGAACCTGCACCAAAATATGGTTCTCAACTAAAGAGACCCAATCCTCTATACAAATTGGGACTTCACGAGTACACCAAAAAGGAACAAGAAACAAAAGACTATTTTGCAATTTCATAAAATCTTGTTCCACCCTTTCAAATGCCCTCCTATTTCTCTCTCCCAAATAACCCACATAATTGCTAATGGGGCAACACGCCATGCCCTTGGACTTCTCTTCCCCTTCTTATGAGCTCAACTATGCAATGCCTCCTTCACAGTGCCCGGCATCACCTATTGCATCGCAAATAAATTAAGGACCACCCTCCACAAACGATTAACGACTAGACAATGCTATAGAAGATGATCTACGTCTTCGCCCAAGCTTTTGCACATGAAACACCAACTAATATAGGTGATCCTCCTCTTCTTAGTCAATGCAATGTACAAAACTACTAGACAATAAATTTTGAGGAAATTGATTTGGCATATCTTTGGATTGAGTATGGCATCTATATTGTTTGAATTCAGTCTATTGAGCAATGAATGCGACCTCAATGCTCAATTTATTTGAATTGGTATATGAATCTGTTGTATGCACTGTGCCTTATGGTAGTTTCTACTACTAAATAGTTTGCCTTTAAGGATTGGAGTTGGCTAAAACTGGATACTCTATGGATATTACAATTATCGTATACTGAAATACAAGTCTCTGACCAGACTAGGAACTTCTAATAATCACCAAACCTGTCATGCTTTTGATTCTAACGTATTTGTTATTTTAGAGTGCTTGACTGTTTAGGGCACATTAGTTTGTTCTTCGGCTAATGGCATGAGGGTAGGATGCGGCATGACTAAGGGGTGAGATTAGCGGGTTTTGATCTCGTTGAGAGGTAGACAGAGGAGATAGAAAAAGTTTGCCATTCTTGATTCATAAGATTCTATGTCCAATAGCACCGATATATTATCATACTGAGTCTTCTCTGCCATGTCGTGAGCCTAGGGTCTATCGAAAACAGTCTCTCTACTCCTCCGGAGTAGGGGTAAGGTCTGCGTACACACTAGCTTCCCCGGACCCCACTTGTGGGATTCCACTGGGTTGTTGTTGTTGTAGTCTCTGCCATTACTTCTCGGACCAACCAATTCGGAACTGCCTTCACAAGTCTTTATGCATTTTCTGAAATATATTAAGTAGAATGTATGATGTGATGACCCTAGGTTGAGAACTCAATGGACTAGGATGACCCCTTTTTTCCTTACCAACCAATCCTTGGAAACTCCGAATATTGGTCCACTAATGGAAGAGTATCCCAACTAGTTGAGTATCATCTATATAGTTACTTTCTTTGTGTTGTGTCTTAGCTAAGTCCCAATTGATTACAAGAGGTTATAGGTCTTTAAAAAAAGGTTACAGGTCTTTTTTAATAGAAGTTTTCTCCATTTTATTTTTATATACCTTTTTCGTTTTAGCACATTCGATCATTATAGTGTAATACCAAGGACCAAAGGTCTATATAGGACATGGTCAATCCTTGAGATGTGTTCTGAGATTCATCTTGTGGATATGCTGGTCTATAGATGGAAGAATGGAGTCAGAATAGATGATTGAAGTCGTAATTTGCTTTGACCTTTTAATTGTTTCAGTAAGCAATTGTATCTCCTAGTTTCAAAGATTGGTTAAGATAGTCTTTGTCAAGGATATTTCGACCTGGAAATTTGTTTTGTCCTCAGTCAAATGAGGATATTCTGAAATATATATGTATATATGCTGGTTTAGCTTCATGTGAGCTTGAATTTGCAAATCATACATCCTTTAATTTCAATCGTCGTGCTAGTTGCATATTTCTTGATGTGATTCTTCGAGTTAACAAAGAACCAACCGACCAGAATCAAGATTTTGAAACGAAAACGTGGTTTATGGGCTGATTTCAAGAAACAGCTTATCTCAAGTTTTAGGACTCCAAATATGATGATTCAAAAACGAGGTGAAAGATGACGATCTGAACTGTAAGAAAGACTATTTATTTGTTCAAAACAAGTAAATATTGAGGCTGTACTGGTTAACGAAAGTTCTGATTCTAGGATATTAAACGAACAAATTTAGATCAAGAAACGTGTTCTTGAATGATCAAGAACTAAAAAGTTCCTAAAGTCACCAATTGGAATCAATTAGCGTGATAAAGAAACACCACACGTAATTGAAAACAAGATAAAGACTATCACCACCTTGCTTGGAACAAAAAACAAGGATAAAGAAGACAAAATAGAGAAAAACACTCTATTGTAAACTAGGGCAAGCCTCACAAACGTGAATTCTACTTTACAAGGCATGAGAACCCTTTATATAGGCCTAAGGCCTCTTCTTTGATGACTACAATTCCTATTCTAATAAGGAAATAAAATATTTAAAGACAAGAAAAATAAAATCCCTATTCTATAAGAAAAATAAACTAGAATCCTACTAAAAGGAAAATCATTATTCTAAAAAGAATAAAATAAATCCTATTTTAAGAAGGAAAGAATCTTGGCTTCTTGAAATCAATCTTCTTGGACTTCTTGCGCTTCTTGAAAATAAGTCTATATGTTCGGACTTGAGCTCTAAAATATTATCTTGGCCAAAATTAATAAAATTTAACATAGATTCTTCTTTTACATCATTTCTCCTCTTCACTTGAGTTTAAGAGAGTGTTTTTTCATGCTAGTTCTAGGTGTTTTTAGAAGGGAACCACCCAGGGTTCACTCGGTTTTTGGGTGGGTTATTTTATTAATATCTCAAAAGAAATAGTACACAAGTAAGGGGGGATACAGGCACTTACCTTACTCATCCTAATGATAGTAGGATTAATAATGCTAGTTCTAGGTGCCACCTCATTGCTTGCTGTTTTTTCTTATTAATATGATTAAAATATATTGCTCTCCGCGGGCACCGATAAAGTGCAATAGTTGCAGGGCAAAAGCTCGAACTCCCATAAGGTTAACTCAAGTAGTGTCTATGTGATATACATTCCTGATGTTACACCAAAAAGCCAAAAAGTACAAGCATCTAAGCTTTAGTTGTTTGTTGCTCTTGCATAGCGTGCTACCATTAACTATGAGGATGCACATGTATTATGGTTAAAATGTTTATAGATTTTGTTTTACATAGGTTATTCTTACATCAAAGATGTTACTTTTTCGGTTTTCTCTGGTTGAGTAAACCGACTGCTTTTTTGTGAATTTTCAGTCTTTACTTTTACATGCGATGCTATTCTTTACACATACATGGTAGCATATTACAGGGTTTAGCAAAGTGCATGTGAATGCTATACAATGTGTCCCCTCTTTGTTTTTGGTTCTTGCATGCGCATGCTATGTTCATCTGTTCATTAATCAAGCAAAATTAAAATTGCTTCTAGATACTTAACGAGGTTGGAATTTTCAATCCGGAGTCTCTCTTTTTATTCCTGAATTAACTTCTTTACCTCAATTATGTCTCGATGTCATTTTGATAGCTACTGTTATATGTTTTATGGGGGTAGTATTGATGGTTACATAGTTATTCTGACACACATACATGTCTGTCACAGAGAATACAATATGCAAAGACGAAATCTGATGTTGTAGCAAAAGCTGATGGTACTTTTGTTCCCCGAGAGAAAAGAAAGAGGCACGAGGATAAAGGTAAAGTCTCTCATTTGAAAATTTTCGAGGGTTTCTATATTCTTTTGAATCCATGTAGGAGGTTGTAAGGCTAAATGTGTTACTTCATACAGTTTGCTGCATACTGTTTGCTTTAAGATACAGATAATAATAGGGCGATAAATTTTACCTTCCAACATCTGTGGTTGTGTGGTTGTGATTAGCTTCCCTGTTCCCCCCACAAAATAAAGAGGAAAAGAAACTGCAATTACCTGATTATTGCAAATTTTAGTTATTTGTTTGCTGATCCTGCAGGTAGAAAGAAAAAGGACCAGCAAGATGCTAATCAAGCTGGAATGGGTCTGAATCCTGCATATGCTGGTGCTTATGGTGCAGCACCTCCTGTAAGCATTTTCCCTTATTTTAGGAGACCTTGTGGAGTTTTCTGTTTCGGCACCATATATGTTAAATTAGTGGGATTATATTATCTTTTGTCCTGTGGCCACGTACTCTAGGAAGGCAAACAGGTGATGCAATGTAGATTTCACTTTAAAAGATGTCATCTGATTTTTCCAATTAAGCATTACTTGAAAGTGCACCATGGTGCATGGATAGTGGCAGTTGTTTCGAGTTAGGATGGAGAGAAACCTCTGCGGCAAAACTTAATGAATTACTTTTTAGATTGCAATTTGCCTCTATGGTAACCTTTCCGGAAGTGTTGTTGTGTGTGAATTTATTTCTCATTCTGCTGAAATTTTGGCACCTTAATTTTGTTTCTCATAACCAGGGCTAAAATATAATAAATTTGGTGCTTCTTTCTAATTGTATATACTGTTTATGAGAGACTTCGTGGAAAATAAAAAACTTTTCCCCCTTGTCCAACTGCTGCAGTTCTCTCAAATACCATACATGGGTGGGGCTAAAGCTGCTGTACCAGAGGCTCCTGCTCCGCCAAATAGTATACTGTTTGTGCAGAATCTTCCTCATCAGTCTACTCCGATGATGCTACAAATGCTCTTCTTCCAATATCCTGGCTTCAAGGAAGTTAGGATGGTTGAAACAAAGCCTGGAATTGCTTTCGTAGAATATGGAGATGAGATGCAATCAACTGTTGCTATGCAGGCCCTTCAAGGATTCAAAATTACCCCTGAGAATCCCATGTTGATTACATATGCAAAGAAGTAGATAGACTGTATTTTAGCTGCTGTCTGTAGAATTAAACATTATTTTTCACTAGGGTTTGGATGTTGCGCGGCTGCAAATTTAAGCTTATGATCCTTGGATATTTAAGTTCACCAGTGTATTTGTTGTGTAATAGCACCTTAGCACCTCCTTTTTTGTTTGGAACATTATGCATTTCAATTTCCTCTTGCATCTTGTAGAGAAGAAATACTAAAAGCTTGTGGTGTAGTCTGATCCTAGCTGAAAGTCTTATGATCTTATCTATTATTCATGCCAGGTGCTGTAACCATTTATTGGTGTTGAAGTTGTCTCTGTTGCAGTGACAGGATACTAACTTGTCAATCACAAAATTGGATGTAATATTGTCACCTTACCAGACTATAATCTTATTCACAACTCAATATAAAATGTAATTTGTTAACTGTCGTTCTATTTAGCATCAGTCCATGGGGTCTGCTTATGATATGCTCGAAAGTCTCAAAGAGATGTTCGGTGAGCAAAATCGCGCAGCTAAGCAGACAGCCATGAAAGCCCTTTTGAACACGAAAATGGCTGAAGGATCATCGGTCAGGGACCATGTTCTGAAGATGATGAATCTTCTGAATGAACTGGAGGTCCTTGGAGCTGTGATTGATAAGGAGTCTCAAGTTGAGATGGTCCTGCAGACTCCGCCTGACAGTTTTCAACAGTTTTGCTTGAACTATAATATGAACAAAATGGATTTGTCACTAGCGAAATTGTTGAATGAGCTGCAAGCGGCAGAATCTATTATCAAACAACAAGCTCCAGTTGTGGCACTAAATGTTGAGAAACCTTCAATTTCTAAGTCGAAAGGAAATAAGAAAAAGAAGAAGGCTCAAAAGGTTCTGGCACCTGGTGGTGCGGCTGGCGTGAACAAGCTCAAAGGCAAGTGCTATCATTGCAAGCAACCCGGGCATCACAAGAAGCAATGCCCCGCCTATCTGGCAAAGTTGAATAAGCAAGGTAATTCAAATTTAAATGTTGTTGAAACTTGTTTAGCGGGTGTTTCTACCATGTTTTGGTGTGTAGATTCGGGAGCCACTAATCACATCTGCAATTCTTTGCAGGGGTTTCAGGAAACGCGGCTGCTAAGTGAGAATGAAGTTTGCGTTTATCAAGCCAATGGCGAGCCAGCACCAGCTTTAGCTTTAGGAGATATTAGTGTTTCGTTTAGTAGTGATAGAGTTTTAGTTTTAAAAGATGTTCTCTATGTACCTTCCATTAGAAGGAATTTGATTTCGGTTTCGAATATAATGGATGCTGGTTATAATGTTTATTTTGCTAATAACTCTGCTGTTATTAAGTTTCATAGACGTTTTTATGTACAAAGCTGCTAGAGTACATGACCTTTTTGTTCTTGATATATCTCCCCCTGTGCTACAACAACCAAAAGAACTAAATAACATTAATCTACCACATAAAAGAAAACGTATTTCTGAATTGAGTCAGACTTATTTATGGCACTTACGTCTAGGCCATATAAATCTAAATAGGATTTCAAGATTGGTCTCTGATGGACCTTTGAGTTCATTGAAAGTGGAATCACTACCAACATGCGAATCCTGTTTAGAAGGTAAAATGACCAAGAGACATTTTCCCTCAAAAGGGAATAGAGCCAGTGATAAGCTAGAATTAATTCACTCTGATTTGTGTGGTCCTATGAATATATAAGCAAGAGGTGGTTTTGAGTATTTTGTGACTTTCACAGATGATTACTCAAAATATGGATATATTTATCTGTTGCGTCGTAAGTCTGAATGCTTTGAGAAATTCAAAGAATTTAAGACGGAAACAGAGAAACGACATGATAAATATATCAAAACATTACGATCTGATCGTGGTGGTGAATACCTTTCTGCGGAATTCATAAAATACTTATCAGATAATGGAATTACATCTCAATTATCTGCACCAGGAACACCACAACAAAATGGTGTGGCAGAAAGAAGAAATAGGACTCTTATGGGAATGGTTAGATCAATGTTAAGTTATTCCGATTTGTCTCTTTCCTTTTAGGGATATGCTTTAGAAACAGCAAACTACATTCTAAATTTGGTTCCTTCAAAGTCAGTACCTTCAACTCCAATAGAATTGTGGATTGGGCGAAAGCCAAGTTTACGGCACACTCGGGTTTGGGGTTGTCCAGCACATGTGCTGAAAGGGAAAACGGATAAATTGGAATCGAGGACAGAAGTATGCATTTTCATTGGATATCCAAAAGGAACAAAAGGCGTTTTGTTTTATTGTCCCAAAGAAAAGAAGGTAATTGTTAAGACAAATGCCAGATTTTTAGAGGTGGACTATCTAACGAACCATATTCCTAGAAGTAAACTAGTTTTACAGGAATTAAATAATGGAATAACTAACGACTCAACTTTTGAACGTATCCCGGAAGCCAACATTGACATACCACTGCATTATCGTAGTGGGAGAAATGTCAATAGGCATCAGATTGCACGAGAACAATTGTCTGACATCTCACTACCCCAAAGTAGTGGAAATAATGTTGAGAAACCTCAGATTGTTGAGCAACCTCACGTTGTTGAACAACCTGAAATTGTTATGCAACCTGAAGAATCTGAAAGCCTCTCTCGCCACGGTCCTGGCGTAACCGCGGTAGGACAGTGCCACTGATTCTGAGAGGCAATCTGGGAGGGATCCTGCACTCCAGGAAGAAGTCAATGATATCCTAGCACCACATGCTGTGGAAAATAACATTGAGACTTCAGTTCAAGGAAGTGGTGAAGTGATTCAACAACAAAATTAGCCTCCACCTGTAGTGACTAGTCGTAATGGGAGAATTATTAAAAAACCTCTCCGGTTTGCGCTCTTGGGAGAATCTTATGATAGAATCCCTGAAGAGCCTAATACAGAAACCTATTAATTACGATGAAGCACTACATGATACAGATGCTGATAAATGGGTTGCTGCTATGAAATCTGAAATGGAGTACATGTACTCAAATCAAGTCTGGGATCTTGTAGAACCACCTACTGGAGTCAAACCCATAGGTTGTAGATGGATCTATAAGAAAAAGAGAGGAATGGATGGAAAAGTGCAAACTTTTAAAGCTAGGCTTGTTGCAAAAGGGTTTACTCAAAAAGAAGGGATCGATTATGAGGAAACCTTTTCGCCAGTAGCCATGCTTAAATCCATAAGGATTCTCTTATCCATTGCGGCTCATTACGATTATGAGATCTGGCAAATGGATGTCAAGACCGCTTTTCTGAATGGAAGTCTTGTTGAGTGCATCTATATGGCACAACCAGTTGGTTTCATAAAAAGTGAAAATGAGCACATGTTGTGTAAATTAAAGAAATCCATTTATGGATTGAAACAAGCTTCTAGGGCATGGAACACTTGTTTTGACGCATCGATTAAGACATTCGGTTTTGATCAATATGAAAATGAGTCTTGTGTCTATAAGAAGTGGAGTGGAGATAAAGTTACATTTTTGGTCTTGTACGTAGATGGTATTTTGCTCATAGGAAACAATGTGAGCATGTTGAATTCAGTAAAGGAATGGTTGTCCTCACGTTTCGATATGAAAGACTTGGGACAGGCAGCACATATCCTTGGGATCAAGCTTATGCGAGATCGCAAGCAAAGGATAATAGGCTTGTCCCAAGCACTTTATATAGATACTATTCTCACCAGGTTTAGCATGCAAGATTCCAAGAAAGGGTTTCTCCCCTTTAGACATGGAATCTCTCTGTCAAGAGATCAGTCCCCAAAAACGACTGATGAGATAGAAAAGATGAAGGCGGTCCCTTATGCTTCTGCTGTAGGGAGTCTTATGTATGCAATGCTATGTACTAGACCTGATATTTGCTTTGCCGTTGGCATGGTTAGCAGATTTCAGTCTAACCCTGGTCGAGAACACTGGACTGCTGTTAAGCATATAATCAAGTACCTGAAAAGGACTAGGGATTATATGTTGGTGTATCACTCAGGTGATCTTGCACCCATTGGCTATACTGATTCAGATTTCCAGTCAGATAGAGACTCTAGAAAATCTACCTCAGGATATGTTTTTACTTTGGGAGGTGGAGCCATAAGTTGGAGGAGCATCAAGCAATCGTGTGTTGTTGATTCCACCATGGAAGCCGAATATGTGGCTGCATCTGAAGCAGCCAAAGAGGCTGTTTGGCTCAGGAACTTTCTGAAAGAGCTTAATGTGGTTCCTTCGGTTCAAGTACCAATTGTATTTTATTGTGACAATAATGGTGCAGTTGCAAACTCGAAGGAACCAAGAAGCCATAAAAGAAGTAAGCATATTGAGCGTAAATATCACTTAATCGAGACATAACACAAAGAGGTGATGCAAGAGTGTTGAAGATTGCGTCGGAGGATAATTTGGCAGACCCGTTTACAAAGAGCTTGACACAGAAGATTTTTGACAAGTATGTAGAAGGAATGGGTGTTAAAATATTAGACGCATGGTTATGAGTCTAAGTGGGAGATTGTTGGGATATACTATTAACCATGCGGTTCAGACATAGTATTATATTTTGTTCTTTATGAAATAATTGTTTATTTAATTTATTCAATTCAATAAAGCACTATTTTAAATAGATCATTTGTAACATGTGTGTCCTTTTGATTATGTAGTAGACAATTTAGTGTATGGAGTCTTAGCTCATACACAGAAGATTAAATTGTTGGTTCTCATAATTAATAAACTATGTTCACAATCGAAGATATTATCGGACAAAATATCTTGATGATTGTAGCACAAGATTATTGTATAATTTGTCTTGATTATGGGAGTAAGTCTACTCCAACTTCTTGTGCTAGTATACTCAGTGTATATTGAACGGACCAAGTAGAGAAAAGGTGTTTTTGTACTGAATACATATAAAACACTTTCTCTAATTCATTAAATGAGATTATACTCCTAATCTTGATATAATTATTATGATCAATGTAATTTGTTTATTATTTTGATTTATCAAAAGGTACGACTCTATTTAGAGTTATGCCTAATAAATTGGACAATAACAAATAACATTTGTGAATAATAATTAGTTGATAGAATCCTTGACTTGGTTTTTGGGTTTGATAATACCCCTTTATATAAGCTTATAAGTTTTCATGTGAAAACCCGGCAGGTGGATTTTGTATATGTCACATGAGATAGTTTAAGCGGAATTATAAAGGATTTAATTAGTTGATTGAATTAAATTTTCAGTGATTTAATTTAATTAACTGGTATTTGAAATCTTAACATGGGGAGTTAAAATAAGTGTTGATGAATTTTTGAAATTCA